AGATTTCATCTTAGGATGGTTTCATCAACCAGGACTGAACTACTGCAACGTTTATGTCAACCAAGAGGGAGATGGAACACAGCAGGCAACAACCTGTGAACAAACACGTGAAGACAGGGATGCCAGGGAAGAGCTCAAGGAAAATCATTAAGTATGTAGAATTTCTGCTGTGGAAAGAAAAGACGGGTTGTTAAAACTTGGTAGAAGAACAATAGATGAAAATATTCCTTTTAGCGTGGTACAGGTTTCTTTTCAGAAACTTGCCACTTGCCTTTTCTCAGTGCCTTTCCACCAAATGACAGGTTGAGATTACACATTACTTTGGGGGGAAAATTGAAGACTTAGTTACAGATATCATCAGTAGTCTCTGTAATTTAAAATAAATTTTGATTTTAAAAAATATGTTTCTAGGATCTTGCTGGATGTCAAATCAATGTGTGCTTTGTGCTGTGTGAGCTAACTTCTTTAGAGGAACAAGTGTACAGTGCCAAAAAGAAAAAGAAAAGCCACCAGTTTTGTGATCACTAATAGCTGCTCAGAAAGGAAGTACCACCTTCAGGTTGACATGCTAGATTAAAATCTGCGTACGTATATGTGCACCCATACAATTATTGTTTTGATGACCCGTTTTTAAAGGTAATGAGAAAAGGAACAATGGGATATTTAATTTTTATGTATGCAAAGTTATAAAAATGTAATATGTGATATATGAAATGTTTGCAAAAATTACAGTGTTTTGCCCATGAGATTTATGTTCTGACCAGTGGCATGACTTGATAAGTGAGCACTACAAAGGCAGGAAAGGATAGGATGGTGAAAGGTAAAATGGTAATCTGATGTCATGGGTTACTTGCATTTATTAGGTGCTTGTTCAGCATATTTTGACTGTTCATAGCTTGAGTTCTCTTTTGACATTTTTTACTGTTACGGCTTATTGTGAATATTGCTGTGGGGGGGAAAGATCCTAAGGCATTATTTGAAAGCTGAGGGAAATGGGACTACCTTTCTGGGCTGCAGGAAGCAGCCTATATTCTGTATAAACAGAGACAGAAAATATGAAAAAGAAGGAAGACATAAAAACACACTGAAACAGGTATCACTGGTAGCTGCATTAAGTTAAAGATGGAAAAGATACAGATCTTTGGTGAGGGAGAGGGATTGTGGAAGGTCTGAAAGGCAATGAGGAAAAAATTCAAAGTTAATATGACAGGAAAGAATAAGCTAATGGTGCAGCCCAAAGAGCGGCTTTTTTGTAGCAGTTTATTCATAGGAGGAGAGTACTATTTTTAGCAGCATTTTATGAATGTTTTTCGGTAGAAATACATGGGTATAAGAAAGGCTAAGGGACAATACAATGACCAAAGGACTTGTCATCAAAAAGAAGGTTCATGTTTTTAAACTTTCAGGGCTTTGAAACCTTTTTCTTTCATCGTTCAAAATGTTTTGATATTTCTTTGCATCACAAGGGAAGTAGTTACTTGGTAAAATTAATATTATTTCCATAAAGTATTTGAAAATTATCTATATAAAGAAATGCAAATATATTTAAGTTGTCTTCTCTATGTATTTCTAATATGGTGTTTAGGGACATGGTTTAGTGAGTTAGGTGGTATTGGGTTGATGGCTGGACTTGATGATCCCTGAGGTCTTTTCCAACCTTATTGATTCTATGATTCTGTGAGTCTATGATTAGTGTGTTGAGTGGGAAAGCCCAACAATGTTTATGTATGAAAGAATGTAAGGAATTTCACTTTGAGAGTAAAAAATAACCATTTTATTTGCCTTTTTGAAATCAGTCTGCTAGCAATGCAGCTATTGAACTGTTTTTACTCTGTTCTTTCCATTAATATTGATAAACAAGTGCCAGTTCTGATGGATGGAGTTTCCAAACTGCTTATGAATACTGGTCTACTTGAAGTGTAGTACAGTAACCTTGCCCACAGGAGGTGTCTTAAAGCAGTTGGGTGAATATGCCAAGCCACTCACTGAGATTTGTCTCTTTAGGAACAGAAAATGTATGAGCTGTGTGTACATTCGCAGGAAAATCTCAATTATTGGAGCAAAAATATCTGATCAGAATGAAGGAGCTATCTGATAAGGGTCTGTTGATAAACACCTCTAAACCAAAGAGAATATTGTAGTATCTGTCCTTCCTGGGCTAAGAGGAAAGAGAACAGAGATGTCTTAGGAATTCTGGAAGTACTGGATTTACCTACATTCTCATCAATATCCTTTGATGAAAGACTAACATCCCAGTAATAGTTAGAAAATATCCACTGACAAAATTTGTTTTCAGAAGACTTTTAACTGTTGTTCTTAAGGAGCTTGTTGGTCTTTCTTAAGAGATGGTGAATGCTCCTGTGATGAACACCAATGGATCTGTCATCCTGTCATAGAATCACAGAATGGTTTGGGTTGGAAGGGACCTTAATGATCATCTAGTTCCAACCCCCTGCCATGGGCAGGGACACCTCCCACTAGACCAGGTTGCTCAAAGCCTCATCCAGCCTGGCCTTGAACACCTCCAGGGATGGGGCATCCACAGCTTCTTTGGGCAACCTGTTCCAGTGCCTCACCACCCTCACAGTAAGGAATTTATTCGTAATATGTAATCTACATCTGCCCTCATAGAAATATTCTGTTTTTATTTTATGTTTTCTAAAAATGCAGCTGCAGAAGACTGATTTGCTGGTATTGGTCACAATCATTGGCAAAGAGGATAGCTGTTTTCCTCTCCTTCATGTTGCCCAGGTTGAGGACCGACGGATATATTTTTTTTGGTCCAGAAAACTGGATCATGTGGAATTAATTATTTGAAGCAGAGGTTGTTATAGGCTGCTTTCTTTTCAATAAGGAAGTTGAGATAGGAATAGACCAAGAATAATCTACTCTAGGTACTGCTTCTGTATACATACACATATGTTTGAGTTTACATTGTACCTTGCAGAAGCACTGGTCTTTGCTTTCAGAAGTTGTCTGAATCATGCAGGCAGTAAAAAAATACAAAAGGTGGAAATCTGGTCTGTGTTTTAATGTATTATGTCTGTTTCTTTTGTGGTACATTCTGTCTGTTCCATGCTCATTCGTATTTCTGAATTACTATGCTTCATTGCTTCTCAGAAGAGGAAAATTTTCAACACGTTTTCTTGACTAGGTATGATGCATGAACCTTTTACTGGTTACATTTTGAAGAGTTTTTCTACATGATTTTAAAAATCTTTCATAGTAGAGGACTGCTCAGATGGTGGCTACTCTGTAAGGACAATTGAATTTAGGATAATTGAAGGATAATTGTAAGGATAATTGAATTTAAGGGCAACTAATTGATACTGATCATCTTCATACCATTGCTTTTTATTCAATATTTGAAATATAAATAACATTTTTTTTGGTAAAAAAATTCTAAGATATAAGAAAGTCTTCAGGGGCTGTGGCCCAACATCTGTGTATCACTGAGGCATCCAATGTGAAAGCACACACAGGTGTTTAGTTGTGATAAATGTAATATAAACAGAATACTCACCTAAATAAAATACAACTCTGTATCTTGCTGGCATACATTTAACACAATGTGTGTTCTATCAAATGTTTTAAAATGAAGTCTCATTAGGAAGTAACAGTGGAAACTATTTGTACAAAACATGAAGGGGAACAGGGACATTTTGGGGTGCATGAGACCCTGGAGTTTTCAGCACTTCAGATGTTAACGTATGGAATTCCAAGCATGGAAATACTGATGAGTGACCTCTACGTTGATAAGCAGTTTACCAAGCCCCGATATTTGAGGGTTTTTTTTCAGCTTTCTTTCCCTTCCAACTACCTGCTGCAGGGAAGAGGTGATTCTTTTGGAGAGCAGAATTTTACACAGCAGCAATTATAGCTGAGCAGAATTGTCAGAGAACTCGCAGCTTCTTGTGGCTGATTGAAAAGAGACACAGGACAAGGATTGCTAGTATTTTAGCTGTTTCCAGCTACTCTATATTTAACTCCTGCTCCATAGTAGACATATAAGATGGCAGCAACTGCTAGAGAGATGAAACCTAATTTGGGAAACTCATTAAGAAAGTAGGTGGAAAAAAAGAATAATACATTTATGAAACAAAACACAAACCTGGTTGGTTCTATCCAAAGCTTGGGAAGTACTTTTGCTCAAAGTGTTGTGCATCTTTGCCAAGTGTCCCACAGAGGGTTTGTCCTTGGAAAGGAAACAAAGTATAATATGACAAGTTGTGAATGGTCAGAGTGTTAAAAATTTAAATTTATCTTTCTCTGGGAAAGTACTGCACTTTGAAAACATCATTAACTTAAAAAAAATCACCCCAAAATAATTTTTGCCTATTCTCATTTTAATGTGTGTAGCTACACTATAATGCAACAGTTCAAAATTATTTGGGAAAAAAACCAAACACAAAACATTCCAGTGCTTTTCTATATACAGGACAGTGCCTTTTTAAATAAAGCAGTACACTGAAATAGAAGGCAGGAAAAAAAGACAGTCAAGCTGGACATCTTTGATTCTATAGATCTCAAATGGAAAGTGTTTATTTCATAATCAGCTTCCTTTAGACTTAGCATATCTTATTTCCAGTGATTAATCCACTACAGGACTGCATATATTCTAGAGATGTTCAGAGAATTTGTAGTTTTACTTTTTGCAGTATTTAACATGAATGCAATTTATTACTGAGGAAACAGTGTCATACTTTCTCCCATTCAGTCTTATTTGCCTGTATTTTAATTGGTTTAGCTAGAGGGACCTTGTTTAATAATTATATTAAGCTTCAGTGTGTCTGCTAACAGATGACAAATACTCAATAGGCTATCTGTTCTTCCTAGGTAAATTTACAAATATGTGCATATAATTTCTATTCACTGAGAAAGGAGAAATTAATCTCTATACTGTTTGTTTTGTAAATATAGGAGAATGACTATTTTTGGTGTGGTCAATTGTGGACAGTTACGCAGCTCACGGAACAATTTTTTTTTTGTGTGTATTGCAGGTAGCATAGTGTACCTTGGGATGATGGTGGGGGCATTCTTCTGGGGAGGCTTGGCAGACAAAGTGGGAAGGAGACAGTCACTCCTGATATGCATGTCTGTCAATGGATTCTTTGCCTTCCTTTCATCATTTGTCCAGGGCTATGGCTTCTTCCTCTTCTGTCGCTTGTTTTCTGGATTTGGGTAAGCTCCTCTGGTTTTGTTCATTTCCACGGTTCTGTGTGTTATTAAATCTTTCTTGTTTGCAAAAGCACACTATTTAATGTAGAAATATGGTCTGTGTCAGGGGTGAGAGAATTAATAAGGTAGCTACTATATTCCTAAATAACAACCTGAAGGGGAAGAACAATGCTTTTAGGGGAGAGACACAGACTGCAAATTGTAAGATTGAGTTCTGTTCTTATTTTACAACAGAATTCTTTTGTGAACTTGATCAACTTGCTTAACTCTTTTTGCCTCAGCTTCTCTGTGTGTTGCTTGTTCAGTCACATAATAATACCCTCCTCACAGGTGTATTGCAAAATTTCAGTAATATTTGTAAAGTTTCTAATGTTTTTGTGTGCATAATGTTGTTTATAATACTGCTGCATTCAAGACTGTCAAATTTAAAACAAGGCCCCAGACTGTGCAAAATGTTTTTGCTCTCTCCAGAAGAATGGTGTTTGTGACCCTGTCTCTGCTTTACCTTTTTTTTTTTTTTTAATTTAAATAACTTCTCAGTTGTTGGAAAAGTTTAAGATGTTGGTAACTGTCAATTAAGTTTATCATTTTAAACCTACATGAGCAGAGATTGAGGTACACAAATAAATTGCTGTGACAAAGCTCCTACCTTTACTGCACCCTTAGATAATAAAGAGCTCTATTCCATAGAGCAGTTAGTTTAGCACTTTTGGTAATTGCTTGGTTCATATAAAAACTACCAATCTTTAAGATGCTGAACGGGCAGGAGCTGGTATACGCTGTGTTGTAAAGCCACGCACATAAAGTCCACTGCTTGTATGGTTTGTAGGCTGTAGTTTATGTAGCCGTAATGGACTAATACTGTTGTGTGATGTTTGTCATTTTAGAAACCCCTTGAACTGGTCTGAAGTAGGGTAGGGCTAGACACTCCTACAAAAAAGAAATTACCATTGCACTAAACACTGTTAAACTGATTTAGGAAAGGGGATGGAAGTGCAAGGGCAGAGAGGAAGGAGATGTGAGGAGTCCTCATGCTAGAAGACTCTCCTTAGTCACCAAATTGGCAGATATTACTCTAAAAGAAATCAAGAGGAAATTGCAACTGTTCTAATTATTAAAAAAAAAAAAAGGTTAGAAAAACAAAACAAAAAATCCCATCCAACTACTTTACATATTTTTCATTTCATAGGTCACTACCAGTTCCAGGTGCTATTTTGTCTCTCCATAGGGAAACATTGATCATGTTGCATGATACTTTCACTCTTCTATGATCCTGTCAAAGCTCAGAGTTCCTGTATTCCTGCGGAGCCTGCCCAATTCATGAGAGCAGTACTGGACCCTTGTGCTACAAAGGTTTGTCTTTTGGCAGACAGTTTTGTGACACTGTGGGCTTTCATCCAGATTGTCCGCCTTGGAGCCTACGGCAAAATATGTGTTTGTCATGCTTCATGCCAAACTTACCTGGAGGGTCTCCTCCTCATCTGTAGCAGTATCTTTTCCAGTAACTTACAGTGCCTGTAGATTTAATTGTGATATGTATATGTCCTGGATTGGGAAGCATGTTCCTTTGTGTACCCAGCTAATGATCAATGATCAATCTCCGCCGCTGAAGGAGTAGATCCTTCATATCTGTACCTTATACCTCCACGTGGGTCCCCACTATGTCCAAAGTCCTCCTACCTCACCTTTGAGAGCTGCGTGAATAGACAATAAATAACTTACCATCATGTATTACCTTTAAAAAAAAAAAACACCACAACAAAAAAACCCCAGAAAACCAACAAACACTACCAACAACAAAAACCCAAGACAACATGAGCTGCAGAGTCGTTCCTCAGATCAGTTACTGTACAGAAAGATTCATGGCTGGCTCAAAAGTTACTGATTTCTCCAAACACGGGATTTCTCTGCAGAATAACCACCTTCAGCTGGTATCCTCTGTTTTTCAGTCCTGTTTTGGATATGATCTTATGTTGAGAGCAGCTGTAACAGCAACAGATACACCATATGCTGAACACCAAGAAAGAAGGGAGAGGCTGGAAAGGTCCAGCTGCAGAAGCAGCGAAGTAAAACCTTTCCACTTTTCAGCAGCTGGGCATAAATACAGCCACTGTTAGAACATACATCTTATCTTACACGTCCCTCTTTCCAGATCCTTTACATCAGCACTGTGCAAGAAAGTTAACTCTTCTGATATCACTCACTGAAGAACTCCAAGATGTTTGCACCAGCATTAAAGACATATCTTCTTGCAGTACAACAGGAAATTTGCTTAAAGTGATAGAATTAAATATTGAACATTTATTACATTCTTAGCTACATCTTGCTTAAATAAAAAAGTTGTGTCAGTTGAACGGGAATAGAAATTCAGCTTCAGCTTTCTGACCTCTCCTCATTTTAGAGATCTTTTCTTTGGACAGTAAATGTCAGTTCCCCTTTCTTAGAGAAAGACACTGAATATATATCTCTGTTACTAAGGGAGGAGCCTTTGTTCCAGTAACTTCATGTGAATTAGAGCCCAAGTATGAAATATGAATAATTTGAAGCAAAAAACTGAATTATATGTTTTAAAGGCAAAACAGTATTGTTACTCAGATTTGAGAAGAGCTTTCTGAAGGGGAATAGAATTATCTGGACAATTTCACAGAATCACAGAATGTTAGAGATTGGAAGGGACCTCGAAAGATCATCTAGTCCAATCCCCCTGCCGGAGCAGGACACCTAGATCAGATCACACAGGAACGCATCCAGGCGGGCTTTGAATGTCTCCAGAGAAGGAGACTCCACAACCTCTCTGGGCAGCCTGTTCCAGTGCTCTGTCACCCTCACCGTGAAGAAGTTTTTCTCATATTCAAGTGGAACCTCCTATGTTCCAGCTTGAACCCATTGCCCCTTGTCCTATCACTAGATGTCACAGAGAAGAGCCTGGCTCCATCCTCCTGACACTCACCCTTTTACATATTTATCAACATTGATTAGGTCACCCCTCAGTCTCCTCTTTTCCAGGCTAAAGAGACCCAGCTCCCTCAGCCTTTCCTCAGCAGGGAGATGCTCCATCCCCTTCATCATCTTTGTGGCTCTGCACTGGACTCTCTCCAGCAGTTCCCTGTCCCACTTGAACTGAGGGGCCCAGAACTGGACACAATATTCCAGATGCGGTCTCACCAGGGCAGAGTAGAGGGGGAGGAGAAC